AGAGACACTTCGATTTCAGGAGGGGAGAAAGAGCATCTTATAGTTAGAAGGTTCCCAGGCAATGCCCGCTCGTCCTTCTGTTAAGGATAAAGTAAGAGTGAAGACGTTAGTTCGATAATTTGCAGAGAAGAAAGAATTTTGAATTTTGTATTAGAGAAAGCTGAGGCTATTAATTTGGAAGTTTGGAACATAATTTAGAAGTTTATACTGAGGGGGGGGGGGGGGGGTAAATTTTGACGGCGTTAAGGGGTGGTAAATTTTTATCAACCTAAATCGGGAGGGCTGCATGAGAAGCTTGCAGTGGCAAGTTCGTCTGAATTATATTTAATGATTCAGTCCGTACCGCGAAGTAAACACGACACTTCACCATTAGAGAGATCAACTGGTTAACGCTGTTTAAAGAAATAATCGCTGTTTACAGTGAGAATCATACGAAGGTTTATACATGCCCGTTACAGTTTCAATAGGCATTGATCCCCTATTCACGCTACACAGAAAGGAATCGAAAGACGAGTTTTCGTTCAAATGGATTTTGTGACATAAGACCATTTCTTCCAGTCGATAACAAATCGTTATTTTTCCTTTACAGAACATAATGGTCATCTAGTAGTACAGTCTGGTATATGAAAGAACACACAATCACATAAACATTGCATTATTTTTTTAGATCGAATAATGTCTATTCAGAACGTACCTCTAAATCTACCTGTTGTTCATTCAATAAATATTTCCCGTGTTTAATACGTTTATTCGATTGGTGTTTCGTCTTAGCTGAACAACCACATCGAATCCATTCTTAAGCGTTTCGAATTGCGTATTCCTGGACGAGGCGGCGAGAAGTGAAGCCCGCAAAGTTTTTTTTTATCTAGACGGGGTGGATATTCCACGTTGACATTCTGCAGAGATTTTTATATGGCGGTGGTAGTTCCCATCTACCCCCAAAAACGTGACATTTTTATAAATCGCCTTTTTCCACCTCCTCGAAGCTTGCAGCACATGCGATGTAAGGACCGTGTCCTTTCGACCACAGATGTAATCGACGTTTTTATGGATCATTTTTTCGTGTGTATTTACGAAGAAAACTTGTAAAAATTACCCTGTTAACTTTGTCACGTTCCGTCTGTCTGCATTTAATAATTCCATCCCATGAACGGATTTTCATTAATTACATACGGGGACGTCCAAAGTTACTATTCACGTCTTTAAAACTAAATGCAATGACGGAAATAAAATTATTAGGCTACGAATACCAACCCTTTTTGAATCTGACTGTTCACTAAATGCATCAACTGCTTTAAAAATTATTAATGCTGTATTTTGTGTTTGCAGTTTCGTATTAGCCTCGAAATAAAGAACACCAAAAAAATGTATATACAAATTAGCAGTATCGAAATAACTTAAAGAGAACCACCTGAAGATGACAAAATTAAGGTCGAAACATTTCGTGGATTCTTTCTGAACATTGAAATTATAATGAAGAATAGTTTGTGTGGACGGACTGACAACCTAACGTTCAAGACACAACAAAAATGCATCCCTTAAAAAACTACCAGCAATGTTAAATTCCGTGACTGTACTACAATAAATCCCCACCGCCTCATATATCTTAAGAACAATACGAGAAGGATCAATCCCCATTTCTAGAAGAACAAGAAGAGATAAGACCGGCGAACCTGCCAGATAGCGCAGGTCGCAGAGATAATGTGGTTTGCTAATTTAGACGGTAATAAAACAAATGCCTGTCCCACAGTCCACAAACCCAGGGCGAGTAGTCGGAGGAGAAGTTGGATGAGACACCAAACGATTTGCGGAAGGAAAATGCGGCTCCAATTTAGTTCCTTGGCGTTTCAAAGCACAAATAAAAAAACACGCCACATCTCACGAAGCCCATTAAAAAACATTACTGAGTGTTCATTTTGAGGTTTTCAGGGCGGTGAGTCTGGTAGAAGTTTACCGACGTTTCGGAGGTCCTTGCTGCCTCCGTCATCAGGGCGATGAGTCATCGCATGGACCTCTGAAATGTCGGTGAACTTGTACCAGAACCCAACCCAGAAGGCAGCAATCTTCTGTTATTTTTTTATTTTGAGATGTAAATCGTTCGGTTTCCTTCGAAATTCCAAGTACCAAAGGTACAGCAGTAGTTAAATGTAATTATGACATTAAAAGAAAAAGTGTTTGCGATCCGGTGCAAAATCGCTGTAGAGCATAATTATTTTTTTAAGCATAAGCGTTTGATGTGAGGGTTAGTACATAATAAAAAACATTTTGTAGTCCACATTCTTTCTACGTGATAAAAAATTCAGTCCTCTGCACACAGTCCACATGTTGATGAGTAAATTGGCGATGTTATGTTTTATGCTGCGTAAAAAAAAGTTACGTGGCGAACATTTAAAAAACAAACACGAGAAATGTCCTCACGTGTAAAAATAAAGCAAAATTCCACTTCGCCCAGAATTAGGATTAAATCGCGTAGTGCACATTGGACTATAAGAAACGCTCGTAAGAGGGGACACACCAAGTGCTTATGTTTAAAGACGAACGTTTGCACATTTGGGCTCATTATAAAATGTCTGTGTGATCCTCTGGGTTGAAGCCATGGGGTCTTTGGCGTTCACTGACGAGCGAAGAAATTATTGACCAGCTGAGCAACTATTTACCTTCCCAAGGTCTCTGTTCAACAGAGTTGGTCCCTTTCTTATGTGATAATGTACAAAGCCTTCAACGTTTTCACGCTGTAGAGATGTAAATATAATCATTACATAAGAATAACTTAAGAGTCAGGCCTGAGATGATCACAAACAAATCCTAAACTGCAAAGCAAGGACCGCCCAATTAACAGCAAAACAGATCTGCAGTCTTTGTAAACACGGACGTATTTAAAAAAAAAGTATTATTGGAGCTTTCTGAGCAGATCTTACAGCAAAAAAGAGTGTGGACGTGTGAGAAATAGCAAATTCCACGCTCTAACGCAAATTGCAAAAGTTAACAGGCAGTGTGTTATCGAAATGCAAAGCGAATTATTTGTGGCATCTACCGAGCCTGACGCGTGGTTTGGTGTGGCTAGACGTAAGAACCCTTTCAATTCGAAGCTAATCTACGATTTATTTAAAAATCCAGTCCCTGCCTCAAAGAAAACACAACGCATCTCCATGACAACGATAAAATTGTCAATGCTGTTTGGGAAAATAACAGCTGATTATTCTGACAACGCATAAATACATTACAGGCAAAATGAAAGTTTACTTATTATTACAGTGTCTGGTATTGATAGATACCACTGAGCTTTAAAGAATTAATGTGTTGAATGTAAATGGTGAGTGTGGACGGATGTGTAATTTATCGTGGCCTATTTTAAAGATAATATTAAAGCATTTTTACTAGAGTGAATAAAGAACGGAAGACGTGGCCGAACCGCAAAACTCCAAAGTGCACGTAAAACGCATTACCGCTGTGCTATCCGGCTCGATATGAATACCACTGTAAAATGCTTGTTGTAAGAGGGAATTTATTTGCAATGGCAGAAACATCTTCTGCAGTAAAGTTTGTACAACTGCAGGATTAACGAGTAACGAACAGCCTTTAGGAAGGGGGTGGGGGGTGGAAAATTAATATTATTTAGGCAGTGGGATGGGTTCGTTACCATGTGACCGCGGGACGGAGTGGTTAGATCCCCTGTTTCGTATTCGGGAAATCCCAGGTCAAAATTTCAGCCTAGGGACTCCGCTATCCTCAATGAGGCCTTCTGTGGGTTTTCCGAGTGCTTCCAGGGAAATTTCGAGACAGCAGACCCACCTTCAGTATTAGATATCTTCACCAGTTCATTATTCATGATCTTATTATAATTCAACGCTGAAAAGTCCCAGTTACTGACAGCGTCGTTAAATAAACCACAATCACAGAAAAATCCAGACACTCAAAAGTGACAAACTTATAAAATCGGCTAAAAGTTATCAAATATTCCTGCAGATTAAATATAATTTATAGATATATCAAAATACTTAACGTAGCGTTATAAACTCTTGATTCGGACATGATAATCTTGAACTGAGTGATGATGTCACGCGTTAAACCCATCCGTAGTGAGCTACACTCGACTCTGCTAAGGAACAGCACGTACCTGCTGGAAACTGGGACCCCCAAACTTAATTGCCACTAGCGTC